AGGTGAAAGAAGAAAGCGCAAAAGCTGGGTTGCAGCTAAACGTCAAAAAAACCAAGATTATGGCAACAAGAATGATTGACAACTGGAAAATAGAGGGAGAAACCGTGGAGGCCGTGACAGACTTTGTATTTCTAGGTGCAAAGATTACTGCAGATGCAGACTGTAGCCAGGAAATCAGAAGACGCTTACTTCTTGGGAGGAGAGCAATGTCCAATCTCGATAAAATAGTGAAGAGTAGAGACATCAGACTGACAACAAAGATCCGCCTAGTCAAAGCCATGGTATTCCCTGTAGTAACCTACGGATGTGAGAGCTGGACCTTAGGGAAGGCTGAGCGAAGGAAGATCGATGCTTTTGAGCTGTGGTGTTGGAGGAAAGTTCTGAGAGTGCCTTGGACTGCGAGAAGATCCAACCAGTCGATCCTCCAGGAAATAAAGCCCGACTGCTCACTGGAGGGAAAGATACTAGAGACAAAGTTGAAGTACTTTGGCCACATCATGAGGAGACAGGAAAGCCTAGAGAAGACAATTATGCTGGGGAAAGTGGAAGGCAAAAGGAAGAGGGGCCGACCAAGGGCAAGATGGATGGATGGCATCCTTGAAGTGACTGGACTGACCATGAGGGAGCTGGGGGTGGTAACGGCCGACAGGGAGCTCTGGCGTAGGCTGGTCCATGAGGTCACGAAGAGTCGGAGACGACTGAACGAATGAACAACAACAACAATGCAGATCAATTCTCACTTTGCCTTCATTCTTGAACAAAACACGGAAAAGGGTACTTTGAGATATCACTCAGGACGATGAGGGGAAGTAAAACACCCATCTAAGATTTCTGCCCCCCAAAATGACATTTTCTTTCAATTTTAAAATTTCTAGTATTGCAGTAATTAAAATGTCAATTGAGCCTTTAGAAATACAATTACTCATGGGCAGAAAACTTTATGAGCTATAGGGGTGAATGATTTTCAGTGTCTCTTTCTTTACAGTGTTACAACTTTGGCAAATGAATGGTGATTTAATGGGGGGGGGGATCTTATAGAGAGGGCCAATGTCTTCAGTTTGCTGCATTCACAGCTACACCTCTGTAGGATTATTATGCAAGGAATATTCCAAGGTGGTGGTTGTGCCATTTCCTTCCTCTAAGATATAGCCTCTGGCACAGTGGTTTCCTTCCCAACATTTTTTTTGACCAGAGACCACTTTGATCAGGGACCATAGAATCATAGAATCAAAGAGTTGGAAGAGACCTCATGGGCCATCCAATCCAACCCTTGCCAAGAAGCAGGAATATTGCATTCAAATCACTCCTGACAAATGGCCATCCAGCCTCTGCTTAAAAGCTTCCAAAGAAGGAGCCTCCACCACACTCCGGGGCAGAGAGTTCCACTGCTGAACGGCTCTCACAGTCAGGAAGTTCTTCCTAATGTTCAGATGGAATCTCCTCTCACACTCCAACATTACTACCAAAAGGGTTATGAATCAGTTTTTGGTCAACTTTAGATTTTGTTTGGTTATTTGGGGATGCTGGTTCAAAAGATTGCATTGGATAGACCACAACAGCTCTAGTTTCTGAAACAGAACATATGCCATCCAGTAGTTGTTGTCTTCTCACCCACAGAAAACCATATTTAATAATCTATAGCTGATGTGGTCTGTCCAATGCAATTGTCTGAATTAACACCCCAAATAACCCCAGGAAAAACAAAGACGCCAAGGTGCCCCCGTTTTCAGGTGCCACATGGAATGGCTCGAGGAGAGGGAGGAGGAGGATAAGCAGTAGTCAGGAGGCTCATTGTTGCACCTTTCATGGGAAGTCAGGCTTTCCCCTCTCGAAATCCCCGTTGCCTTGGCCCTATAAGAGGGTTTAGCGAGAGCAGTCACTCTCACTGCAATGGTATAGTAACAGTGAGACCACGGACCATATTTTAGTTCTTGGAGACCATTGGTGGTCCACGGACCAGACTGGGAACCACTGCTCTGGCACCTGGTATTTGTTGGTGGTCTTACATCCAAGTACTAACCAGGGCTGAGCTTGTTTAGTTTCCAAGATGAAAAGAGACCTGGTGTCTTTAGGCTCTAAGTTTGTGCTTAGTTACTTATATATTATGGAGCTTGAGAAAAAGGGCTTAATGTGAAATGCCTGCCCTAAGGAAACTCACAAGAAAGTTGTTCCTTTAATTTCTACACCACTGTAGGACTGCCAGAGTGAAAAGTGGAGAGAGATACTATGCCTTTAATGGTTGTATAGAAGAGGGAATTTCAGCCCTTTGCTATTTGGTGTGACAAACAACCATACTGAAAATTCCTCTGACACACAACTATTCCTCCAGGCAACCCTAAAAACAAAAACCCTGTTTTTCATGAGCCTTGTTTTAAGTACTACATTTACGAGTTAAAGACTACTGTGTCAAGAAATAACAAAGAGTAGTATACAAAATATTTTATAGAAAATAGTAACATAAGTAATGGCGCAGAAGTTATATACCCTCAAGCATAGTGTCTATGAAGTGTTTTGAGTAAATAACAATGTGTGAGGCACGTGGATGGTTACAGTCATCCCTCTATATTTGCAGTTTTGACTTTTGCGGATTTGATAGATTTGATTCGACAAGGTCCCCCATGACCTTGTGGCAAACAAACTAGTCCAATGTGGGCTAGGGAAAAACTACAGTTAGGTAGATCTGTAATTGGTTAAGTGAATGAACCCAAAGGGTGCTCACCAATGCTTCCTCTTCATCCTGGAAAGAAGTGACGAGCAGAGTGCCACAGGGTTCTGTTCTGGGACCGGTCCTGTTCAACATCTTTATTAATGACTTAGATCAGGGGTCCTCAAACTAAGGCCCGTGGGCCGGATACGGCCCTCCAAGGTCATTTACCCAGCCCTCGCTCAGGGTCAATTTAAGTCTGAAATGACCTGAAAGCACACAACAATAATCCTATCTCATTGGCCAAAAGTAGGCCCACACTTCCCATTTAAATACCAATATGTTTGTATTTAAAATTGTTTTTCATTTTAATTATTGTATTGTTTTAAAGTGTTTTCTTTTTGCACTATAAATAATATATGTTCAGTGTGCATAGGAATTCAATCACACTTTTTTCAAATTAAAATCTGGCCCTCTAACAGTTTGAGGGACAGTGACCTGGCCCTCTGTTTAAAATGTTTAAGGACCCCTGACTTAGATGAAGAGTTAGAAGGCATGATCATCAAGTTTGCAGATGACACCAAATTGGGAGGGACAGCCAATACTCCAGAAGACAGAAGCAGAATTCAAAACGATCTTAACAGATTAGAGAGATGCGCCAAAACTAACAAAATGAAGTTCAACAGAGACAAATGCAAAATACTCCACTTAGGCAGAAAAAATGAAATGCAAAGAGAGCAGTATGTGTGAAAAAGATTTTGGGGTCCTTGTGGACAAGTTAAACATGAGCCAACAATGTCATGTGGCAGCTGAAAAAGCCAATGGGATTTTGGCCTACATCAATAGGAGTATAGTATCTAGATTCAGGGAAGTCATGCTACCCTTCTATTCTGCCTTGGTCAGATCACACCTGGAATATTGTGTACAATTCTGGGAACTGCAGTTGAAAACTGAAATGGGTCCAGAGAAGGGTGACCAAGATGATCAAGGGTCTGGAGAACAAGCTTAAAGAGCTGGGCATGTTTAACCTGCGGAAGAGAAGGCTGAGAGGAGGCATGATGGCCATGTATAAATATGTGAGGGGAAGTCATAGGGAGGAGGGAGCAAGCTTGTTTTCTGCTGCCCTGGAGACTAGGACATGGAACAATGGCTTCAAACTACAAGAAAGGGGATTACACCTGAACATTAGGAAGAACTTCCTGACTGTGAGAGCCGTTCAGCAGAGGAACTCTCTGCCAGAGTGTGGTGGAGGCTCCTTCTTTGGAGGCTTTTAAGCAGAGGCTGGATGGCCATCTGTCACGTTGCTTTGAATGTGATTTTCCTGCTTCTTGGCAGGGGGTTGGACTGGATGGCCCACGAGGTCTTGTCCATGTCTGATTCAAAATGCTCTCTCTCCAATTCTCTAGGGGCCCCATCACACTAGAGAATGAATCCATTTAAATTCCAGTTTCTGCCTCCTGCAGAATTCTGGGTTTGTAGTTTAGAGAGGAGCCTTTAACAGCCTCACTAAACTACAAACCTCAGAATTCTTCAGGGGGCAGAAACTGGATTTTAAGTGGATTGGGTAGTTATAGGTTTTTTTTGGTTGCATGGCCATGTTCTATAAAGCGGTTGTTTGGGAGGAGCCAGGAAAATTGGGGTGACCCAAGGAATTGGAGTTGGTCAGCTGAAAAGGAAGGTTCCCATGTATTTTTGTGTATAGTCAAATCTCCACATTGGTTGGGTTTAGGGGCACAACACTCCCATTAAAGTGAAAAAACACAACTAAATACAACATGGCCATACAACCTACAACAACCCAGTGATTTCAGCCATGAAAGCCTTCGACAATACTTTAAGTGGATTCATTCTCTAGTGTGATGAAGTGGTTGGTCTTCCAAGTGATGCTATAGACAACTTTCTCAAGTCAAGCTGGAGGACCTAGGAATCTCTCTAGGAATCTCTGGGTCCTCTATTACAATTCTATGGTTACCTTCCAGCTGAAGCGGATTATCAATCATGCTAGAAGACCGGAAAATCCCTAGAGTGGGGTTAAAAAAGAAGAAAGATTTGTAATTAGTTGCGTTTTTTTTTTCACTTTAATGATAGTCTTGTGCCCCTAAACCCAACTAATGTGGAGACTTGGCTATACGCAAAAATACATGGGCACCTTCCTTTTCAGCCCACCAACTCCAATTCCTTGGGTCACCCCTCTTTTCCTGGCTCCTCCCAAAGAGCCGCTTTTGCTTTATTTAAAGGAGGCAGGAGAAGGGGGGAGTGGAAGCTCAGGCTTCCCTCCCGCGCGGCCCCTCAGCGCGCAACGCAGCTCGGAATGCAGGGGGAGCCCAAGGTAAGACCTTCCCCTGAAGTTGGCAAGGAGTGGGCGGGGTTTACGAGAGGAAGGGGGCGCGCGCTGCGGTTTCCACGGCAACGCCTGCCCGGGGATTCCAACTCGCAGGCTGACAGTCGCGCGCTTGCGAGTGTGCGCCTGCGTCCCCCGTTGGAAGGAAGAGGCGATATAAATACAAGGTTGTGGCTGTTTCATTTATTTTGTTTTTTTTTTTGTTATCTCCTGCAAAATGCTTCTTTGGTGCCAAAAAAAGTCACTTGCATGCATAAGAAAAAAGACCCCAGCGTTTGGTCTGATCGAAGAGGAGTGCTGAGAGAGAGAGAGCGAGCGAGTGAAATGCTTTTGTTGGTCAGAGTTTTCCTTTCTGTCCCTTGTGGCGGGAGGCTTGCACGGGACCCACGCTGGGATCTCCGGTCCCAGGCTGGGAAGCGGAAAGGGAGAGTGAAATGAGGTTCAGAGTAGCATCCCTTTTACTTAATCAACCGTGCATCCTGGGAAGTACAATACACGCTCAGTTAACTGGCCCCCAAGGGGAAAATTAGATGTTGGGCAAAGGGAGTTTCTGGTTGCTTGAGAGTTACTATTAAAATAGGCCTAGCTGTGTCTCCCAATACTATGCCATTAACTATTGACATAATAAAAATATTGAAATGCAGTAATTGGAAGCAAATAAAGACAAACTTAATGTAAGATAGTGATACTGTATTATGAAAATAGATGTACTGTCGTATCAACATGATTTTATTTTAATGTTTATTTAAAGTATTATTTCTTCAATTTTGCCGGTTGCTTGAGAGTTCTGGTTAACTGAGAGTTGTGTACTCTGCTTCCAGCCCTCGTGAGTTCTATGCCTCAGACTTGCAGCCTTCAAAGGCCAGCTCCCCAAAGGCTTGGCTTCCCCTTCGCCTCCCAGAAGTCCTGTTTTTTTCTCATTTCTCGGACTAAAACTCAGGCGCGCCTCAGGTTTTTCAATTTTTATTTAATTTTATTTTTTTGTGCTGGGGATGACGAGCCCATTTTCTCTTTCTCCTTCGGCTAAATGACTTTAATTAAAAGCGCAGACGGCGGAAGAAACCTGGCAGGCTTCCCCCAAATTTTTTTCTGTTCCTTTCTCTTTTCAGTCACTGTGTTGAATTGACTTGGCTGCCTCATTCGCTGAAGGAAAAGTGGAAAGAGTTTTCAAAAGGAATTAATGAACTGTCTCCCAGCTCTGGAGACCCTGGCAATGAGAAAGCTCTTTTCTTGATTAATGCATTAATTAATTAGCTGGGGACAAATCCGTGACAGACAGAACCCCCCCCCCCCCCCCCCCCCCCCCCCCCCCCCCCCCCCCACCACCCTCCCCTTCCTCTTGGTTTCTGTCAGTTCCCTCATTGGAAACTCCAGCAAAGACTGAGTTTGAGTCTTTGCTGGAGGCAGACAGGAATGCAGATCTCTCTCTGTAGGTTTCTTGCAGTGCTAAAAGGCAACAGGGGACAAAAAAGCATCCCAACTAAAGAGGAACACCCTCCCCCTACTCTACAAATGACTAAACTTGAGCTGAAGTTTCAAGGCGGCCTCATTTTGTTTGTTTGTCAGCAACAAAGTGTGGGTCCGTATTTATAGACAGTGCTGCAATTTTGTGGCAAGGAAGGTTTCAATTTTGTTCAGCTGACAACACACCACAAGGCAAGGCTCTCTCTTTCGTTTGCAGCATGCACATTGTCCCAAGTGACATGAGTCGACTCACATCACAAAGTTTTCACCACGTCCCCCAAGAAAGATCTTTGCATTCTTGCTTTTGAACAAACAAAAACTGCTTCTAAAACTGGGTTGTCGTATGTTTTCTAGGCTGTATGACCATGTTCCAGAAGCATCCTCTCCTGACGTTTTGCCTGCATCTATGACAGGCATCTTCAGATGTTGTGAAGTCTGACCTCACAACCTCTGAGGATGCCTGTCATAGATGCAGGCAAAACGTCAGGAGAGGATGCTTCTGGAACATGGCCATACAACCTGGAAAACACACGAAAATCTGTTATTCTGGCCATGAAGGCCTTCGACAATGCATTGTGTTTAAAATTTCAGGTGGCAGGTAGACTTCATTGGAGACCAAATTGGGTTCTTTTTGAGCAAAGCTAACAGGGCAGCTTGCAAAATGAACATTGTCATCATAGATAGAGAAGAGATCAAATACACCTTATGTCCTCCCAACAAGCAGCAGCTAAAAAGCCAATACATCAATAGTAGTTTAGTTTCGAGACTGAGGTCAGACCTCTCAACCTCTGAGGATGCCTGTCATAGATGCAGGCAAAACGTCAGGAGAGGATGCTTCTGGAACATGGCCATACAGCTCGGAAAACACGTAACAACCCAGTGATTCCGGCCATGAAAGCCTTCGACAATACATTGCTTCTAAAATGTTAAGTGGCAGGTAGACTTCTTTGGAGACCAGGTTGGGTTCTTTTTGACCAAAGCCAACAGGGCAGCTTACAAAATGAACATTGTCATCATAGATAGAGATGGAGATCAAACACACCTTATGTCCTCCCAATGAGCAGCAGCTAAAAAAGCCAATACATCAATTGTAGTTTATTATCAAGATTGAGGGAAGTCATAGTCCCACTTTATTCCTGCCCATGGTGGTCCACGCCTTAGTTACATTTAGATTGGATTACTGCAATGCACTCTATGTCGGGCTGCCTTTGAAGACGACCCAGAAATTGCAACTTGTGCAAAGCTCAGCAGCCAGGTTGCTAAATGTAGCTAGTTATAGGGAGTGAATGACACCTCTACTGAAGCAGCTCCACTGGCTGCCGATACGTTTCCAGGCCCAATTTGAAGTGGAAGTCATTACCTATAATCCCTAAACAGTTTGGATCCTGCTTATCTTTGAGTCCGTATCTCCCTGTATGAACAGGCGTGAGTCCTAAGATCTGCTGGGGAGGTCCTTTTCTCATTCACATCTCTGTCACAAGTGAAGTTGGTCAGGATGAGAGAGAGGTCCTTCTTGGTGGCGGCTCCCTGGCTCTGGAACTCTCTCCCCAGAGATTAGATTAGCCTCCACCCTGCCCTAAAGACTTGGATGTTCTAATGTGCCTTTGAGTTAGCTGATTATTCAAACTGAACAAGTCCTTCAGCCCTAATCTTTTGTTTGGATCTCCAGCACTTTATTCCCAGCCTAGCCCTACAGTTTTATGTTTGCACTAGCCCTTGTTCTGTCCAACTAGTCTCAAATCTGCACATGCCTACTTTTTGGCTTTTGATTGTTTGTTGTGTGGTTCGTGTTTATGATGTTTTATATTTTATTGGTTTTACTGTTTTTAATATAGTTGATTGTTATATCTTTTTAATTTGTGTTTCTCTGTAACCTTTGTTTATATTGGGCTTGGTCTCCATATAAGCTGCCCCGTGTCCCTTTGGGGAGATGGAGGCAGGATATAAGAATAAAATTATTATTATTATTATTATTATTATTATTATTATTATTATTATTCTGCTTTGGTCAGATATCAACTGGAATACTGTGTCCGGCTCTGGGCTCCACAATTCAAGAAAAATAATGATATTTTAGAACAGGCATGGGCAAACTTCGACCCTCCAGGTGTTTTGGACTTCAATTCTCACAATTACTAACAGCCTCAGGCCCCTTCCTTTTCCACTTAAGTGGCTGAGGGGGAAAAGGAAAGGGCCTGAGGCTGTTAGGAATTGTGGGAGTTGAAGTCCAAAACACTTGGAGGGTCATAGTTTGCCCATGCCTGAGCTAGAATGTGTCCAGAGTAAGGTAAATCAAAATGACCAAAGGTTTGGAAGCCGAGGTTAGAGAAAAGAAAGCTGAGAGGGGTCATGATGGCCATGTTCAAATATTTGAAAGGATGTCACATTGAGGAAAGGACAAGCTTGTTTTTTGCTGCTCTGGAGACTAGGACATGGAGCAATGGCTTCAAATTGCAGGAAAAAAGATTCCACCTAAACATTAAGAATAACTTCCTGCCAGTAAAAGCTGTTTGGCAGTGGAATATGCTGCCTCGGAGCATGATGGAGTCTCCTCTGGAGGTTTTAAAGTAAAGGCTGAATGGACCTCTATTGAGGGTGCTTTGATTGTGTATTCCTGCATGGCAAGGGGCTGGACTGGCATTTGTGATCTCTTCCAATTCCATAGAATCATAATTCAAAGTGAAAAGGCAGTCAATGATGGGATGCACCAAAATCTGGTGCAGACATGGAAGATGCTATCATGGATAGCAGTGCTACCCAGAATGTCAGTCCCTCTACCTGTTTTGGTTCATAAGATGTTGGTTGCTGCTCTGTGATAAGTTTCCAGGAAGGAAAGAAAAAGTTGTAGACAACAACTGGTACATTGGGGAAAACCCTTTCAGTCCCACAGATTAGATAGCAGTGATGTATGGGAGTGATACATAAGCTGTAAAAAGTCTCATCTTTCCTTATCTCTTTTATAATAGCATGATCAGAGGTTGCCAAACAAAGGTGCAACTATGAGAGCCAGTGGAAATGTTTGTAAAATGTGTCCATTAATGCTTTGCATGAAAGTATTTGGTAGAAGACACATGATACTCTCTCTGTTTGTGTCCAGTAGCTGCTTATTCATTTGTAGTTTGGAAACTAGATGTATTTGGTGTACAAGTGCATTGTATCCCTTTTGTAAAGACTCTGTTGTTATCATGAATCTTTGTTCATATTACTGATCACAACAAAACTGAACTTTATTATTTAAATGTGTGTAGCTTGGGTTGTTGTAGGTTTTTTGGGCTATATGGCCATGTTCTAGAGGCATTCTCTCCTGACATTTTGCCTGCATCTATGGCAAGCATCCTCAGAGGTAGTGAGGATGCTTGCCATAGATGCAGGTGAAACGTCAGGAGAGAATGCCTCTAGAACATGGCCATATAGCCTGAAAAAAACCTACAACAACCCAGTGATTCCGGCCATGAAAGCCTTCGACAATGTGTGCAGCTTGATTTCAGGGAAGTGCAGGATAGTGTGTGTAGAAATTATCCCCTCTTACTACCCCTATAGCTCATTTAGAGAGCAAAATGCTTATTAGGTAGGAGGAATGTCTCCATTTCTCTCCCCTGCCATATAGTTACACATCTGTGAGGCAGGAATGGAGAGTGAAATTCGGTTGACAGTATGATTTTACTTTCCATCCAAAGGAGTTACTTTTTGAAAGTATTCAACT